GGTACGTAGAGGGTGATGGACACCATTGAATACAGTGCGGTTTTGTACTTGTACACCACGAATCGTGCATTTGGAATAGGGTTTGTAAGACACATGTCCAAGATGGTTAAGTATGAATGCCCGACCTAGTGCATCAGCTATAAAGCATCGTACTGTAATTGGTATCGTGTATCCATTGAAAGTAATGCCTCCAGAAGAAATAAGAAGCTTGATGTCAGTGATAACTTTGTCAAAGAAACCATTCGGATCAGATGGTTCTTGCTTACCTTTATAAATACCCAGAACGATTGGTCTGCTATTTGGTAGATTTGCAATTCTACACTGAATAGGCCAAACATGAATATAACCAGATTTGTCCAAGGCACATCCATCTGTATGCATATCTAATTGTAACTCTGTCAAGTTACTATAAGTTACATGAGAAGAGTTTACCAATTCCTTTAATATTTGAGATTGTACATTGAAATGAATATATTCTCCTGGTGGTACAACCGAGATAACAATACTGCCACGGGCTGTACCAAGAAGCGTTCGAACATCTTTTGGCAAACTTAATAAGGAAGACATTGTAACATGAGGACAACTCGAAGCTTCTGAACGTAATAGAGATAGCAAATTATTGCCCTGGGCATGAGTTAAATTATTATCTACTATATATGAAGCTAAACGTTCACGGAAAGAAGGTTGAAATGAAGAACTTAATGAATCATCTGAATTCTTCGAAGCATTTGAAGAAATGGAACACTCTACCTCTGAAGCAGGTGGACAAATTGATGCAGCATCCGGCATATCCACATCCTCTACGATCTCCTCATGGGTACAAACAGCAGTGAACGATGAAGAAGGATTAGCAGAAGTAGACGGAACAGCTTGCGTATCACCGATGATGCGGGTTGAATTCTCATTATTCGCATTCTGCGAACAATACTGCAGTCTCGCATGTTCAAGGATTTTACGTCTCATCCTACGTTTCTGCCTATCTAATAATTTATTCACTGGTTTCCGCGAACAATGGATTGATAGATTAGAATTTTCACGTTCCATAATGGAATGCGGAAACGTAAATTTATCTCACTTTAAGTTGTCACTTTCCTCACTTGTTGACTGCAATGAAATGTGCCGTATGCGCGATGGTCGGTGATCAACAGGAAGAGTGCTAATTTTCCGGATGCTCATTCATCCCGTTTCATCCTTGCGGTATAGTTTGGCACTATAAATACGCGAAATGCGCATGCGAAAATCGTTTTGATTGGTCGTTCATGTTGCGTTGGAGATTGCGCATTGCAAGAAATCCTCAACGCGCATACGCTCCAACCTGTACCCGCGAACATTTAAGTGTGGTGTTTGCTTTGTTTTTCAGCGAAGGGGTGCATCGCGGAAAATATTTTTTAGTGGAGGGGCGCACCGCGGAAAACATTTTCTTAGTGGAGGGGTTCGTCATGACAAAAAACTCTTTCGCATGTGGAAAACTCAGTCGTGCATCGACATTTACCGAGGTATAACGTGATTTCTCAGTGAAGTCAGACAGAAGTGATGTCTCACTATTTTACGGCTAACAATAAGAGGAAGTATGGAGCTGAAGGCTCCATATACGAAGACTTGGAGGTTTTACAAGAAGTTGGCGAAAACCAAGAAAACGACGAAACGTACGCGTCAATGTCAGCGCCCAAAAAAAAGTAAGTTTGAACATTAACTTTTTCCCATGTCGTTATTCACAGTGCACCTCGCCTGTCACTCGTATAACGCGCTCCGTTATAACGCGATATCCTATTGCACGAAACGTATCCTCCGCGTACGGAAGTCTACGGTATTCATTTTTGTTAGAAAGAATTTCTTAGCTAAAGTAC